TATATAATTATATATTAAATAAATAAATATATATATATATATATCACGTTTATTAAAGAATATCAAGAAAATACATTATATTAAAGAGATTTATATTATTGAATACTCTTATATTATTTAATATAAAAATTAATTTAATTAATATAAAAAATAAATTTTCTGTCGATATTATAAAAATTACAAAATATTTTAATTAATTTTGTAAAATTCAGTATATATAAATAAAAGAAACACAAAATGATATAGGTATGCATTTATACTTTTTTTATATGTTAAATATTATATAATTAAAACTAAAATATCTTTCAAATTAATGATCTTAAAATATTATTTTAATTAATATTAACTTTCTTTTGTAAGAATAAATAAATATATCAATTTATATAAAATATTAGAACATACATCATTTAAAATTTTTATTAAAATTTATTTAAAAAAATAGAGACAATTTCTAAATCTTTAAAATGCCATTTTTAAAATTCATTCATATTTCATATAAAAATTTTATTTTAAAATTATGACTTGCCCAAATTACATGGCACACCATCTAGTTGAAAAAAGAAATAACTATTACAACTAAGTACAAAACTGAAAGGATAAATATATAAGCTTTTTAGAAATAAATCAAAAATCCATAAAATTAAAAAAAAAAACTTAAAAAATAAATATATAATTAATATCAAAACAAATTTTTTTACAAATTATCTAATCTTCAATCTCTAAAAATTAAATAATAAATCAATTTTAGTTATATATCAAAGTATCTTAAATTTTAAAATTGCTTTTTATTGAAAAGCAGAAATTTTTTTCATTTTTTTTCATTTTTTAAATTTTTCTATTTTCCTATTATGAACTTTATATTATTTTTATAAACTTTTTTTTATAATTGCAACTAGAATTAAATTAGTAAATATTTTTATTTTAATATATAAAAATAAATATAAATCATTAATATTGCTTTAAATATATATTAAAAAATAAATAAAATTTTATATAAATAATATATCTATATTTATAATTTTTATATAGATATTATACATTAAATCAAATTATTATTATATTATAAATTACCATTATTTAAAAATTCAAAAAAAAATTTTAAAAGGAGTATGAAATTCTTTTTATTATAAAAAATATGATTACGAATTTAGTATGTATAAATTAAATATTTATAATTTTTAAGGATACATATATTCAACACACAATATCTCACATTATACTATTAATTTTTTTTTTTTATAGTTTTTGCATTTCTAATTTTAATAATTTTCGCAAAAGATATAAATTCAAATTTATAAAAAACCAATATCAATTTAATCTGTTGTAAATAAAAAAAATTAATAATGATCGCAAATGTAATAAAAATATATATCTTTCTATAAATCAAAAGATATAATATTGTGTAGTATATATCAAACTTAATATGTATTAGAAATACATGTTTTACCAAAGTTTTAATATTTTTTTTAAAAAATAAAAGTTTTAATATAAAAGTTTTAATATTACTAAAAATATAATGTTACTATAATGTTATATATATATAATCTTTTCAATAATAATAATTGATTATGTGTTATAGATTTTTTTAAAAAGAAATTTATAATAATATAAGTATAACAATGCTTTTCTCACATACATCATTGAGAAGCTCCCGTCTGTATTCGGATTCATCAATATCAATTTCGGAAGCAAGATCGGTATGATCGGTAACATAGCCATCGTAGTGTGCGCTGTTCGCCTCGCTACGTGCATATTCTTCCTCCTCCTCGACAGTACCGGCGATGGTCGGTATTGAAGCACCGCTTGCCAGTAGCATTACCACGCGTGGCACGAGGTCACCGGATAAATCTCCTCATTCCACCCTCTTTCGTCTGTTTCCTAAAGTACAAACACATCATTGTAATCCTACCGATATACATCCCTAATCTGTATGATGCTTGACGTATTCATTCATACAAATTTCTACCACATTATTACTACAGCTTAATCTATTTAATATGATAATAAAATAACTTAAAGGACTTTCAATCGTTACTTTTTTTCCATAGATAAATCAAGATTTACATAATGAATTGTTATGCCTTGTAAAAGTATCTTCACAAATTTTATAATTGTTTATTTGAAATAATTATAATAATTTGTAGTAATAAACGAAAGTATCAATTGATTATTTTCATATTATGTTTAAATGTTATCTTTGAAATTGTCTGAACAGATACGCAACGAACTATGCACCATAATATAGTTCGTGCGACGGTACCGTTTCCATGGCAATGCATCGTCGATAGGTCTGACTACATACTATCTATCTACTGTATCTTGCTATTGTTCATGAAGTGCATTCACGTCTATCGTTTCTAATCAAATATCGATTTCTTATCTTACTTTTATAAATATAAAAAACAAATCTCAAATTTAAAAAAATTGAATATAAATTGAAAAATTGAATATTATAAATTTTGTGTTGTTAAAAATTTCAATAATTTTAAAATAATTAATAAAAATTTATTTAAAAAAATCATTTCTCAAAATTTTAAAACATGAAAAAATGATTATTCTTTTACTTTTTTATATTTTTCATATAATAAGTGAAATAATAATAATAATAAGTGAATAAGTAATATAATAAGTAATATAATAAGTAATAAGTAATATAGTAATAGTTAACAATATTTAATTAAACATTAATAATTGTTATTCACGTTGTATATGATAGAACAAATAAATAAATAATTTAAAAAATTATAGACTATATTAAAACAATTTAATAAACAAAATAACAAATTTAGTTTACAAATGTCCACTGTTTATTTATTAAATTATAAACAATTAATTTTTTATTTAATGAATTTTATTTAAATTTTATTTAAATGAAGTAAGACAAAGTGTAACGAAAATAAAATTTCATTTCATTTAGTGCTTAAAATTAAAATGCTTATAATTTAATAAGCTTCAATAGATATTTTTGCATGTTTTTTAAATAAATTTTATGATTGTTTTAATTCCTAGAATTATTTTTTAATTTTTCTACTAATTGTTTTGTTTAAACATTTATATATTTTATAAATTTTTCAAATACTTTGAATCTATTATCTTTCTTTTTTTATGCATTATCAATCATTTACATATCCAAATATCTAACATGATTAACTAAGTTCAAAACATATAAATGAAATATATATATATATTGTATATATGTATCAATTTAAAATATTAAAAAATATATGTAGAAAATATATGTATATTTGCACCAATTATATTGTAATTCTGTATTAAAATAATATATATTATATGTTATATATATATATATATATATACATCTATCGCTATCTTTATAATGTATTATAAAATGAATAAAATAAAAATAATCGTAAAATATAATATAATATGATTATATATTATTATAATATAATATTAATAATTATATAATGTGATAATATTTTATAATATATAATGATTTGTAAAAATGAAGGATAATATTATTATCCTATAATATTTTATTCAAAAGTAGGTCAAGCTATAAAGCAACCATAAATTATCTTAAACTTTTTTTATTATTTTTGAATATATAATAAATAAAAAAATATTTTTATTATAATAAATTCTAATTAATTTCTATCAATTTATTTAGAATTATTTACTTAAAATGTTTAAAAAATAGAAAGCAAAAATAAAAAATATTATATTTTTACAATTATATATATATAATTATAAAATATTATATAATATATTATATTTTTATAATTTAAAAATATAAAATATTATATTTTTACTTATATTATGAAAAATTCGTTTCTAAATATAAATCCATTTTATTTAATTATAAATCAATTTTACATATTATATGTGAAGAAATAAATCATGTTAAAAATATATCTTGCAATTAATTATATATTATTCAAATTTAATACATAATAAATAAATGAAAACAAATACAATAATTAATCAATAAAAACCAAGTAGCTCTGTTGCATAAGATAGATCAATTACTTAATAAAGTTACATCAGTTTAACAAATTTTCTATCTAAGATCTAATGTGATAGGTAAACCTATAACCACGATGCAACCGAAGCTTCCACGCGTCCGTTTATACCACCCCTCTAGTCACTTTCCCTTTCCCCTGTCCCTTTCCCTTAACCTCATCCCTTCCCCGACTCCTTTGCATCCACGTTGATTCGTTACCCTCCGTTTTGGCACGACGTCACTGAAACCCATCCCCCTATTGCACTGTCATCGTACCAACCCCACAAAGTCACCCCCTATCCCTGACGCACACTTGTTCCGTCTCTTTTCCATCCTATTTACCTGTCCTCCTTCTATGCCATCTTCTAAGCGCAATTACGTCTCGTCCATGTCGACCCGTTTGCACGAGACGCTTTTAAGGTCAACGACCTTGAAGAATGTCCGACGATACATCGTCATGGACGATGCTTCTTACATATATCTCGGTGTCTTCTTACGTCCAGCCCTACTTGGCATTAGATTACCTCGAACCCTTTCATGCTACTCAAAACGGTACGTCTACCTTCGTTCATTTACCTTATATTGAATCTATGCATTTATTTAGCACTAATGATACGAGTTTATATCATAATAACTAATTAATTCACTGTTACATAGGTTCGAACAGTTGGTAATATTTTGATATCTTTATCGCGGGAAATTTTAAAATGATCTTATGGAGAAAAACAGGTTATTTATGACATGAGTCAATATATTTTGTTTTAGGATATGAATGTGTGTACTTTGGTTGTTAACCTTTCACGTGACTTTTGCGACTATCTTGTTACGTAGTATATAGTTGTACTTTCACTGTTTCGTTCGAAGAACGGTTCACACTTAATAGTTCATAATATACACAAATTCTAATAATAGACTTTAAAAAGATGAAATAAATATTTTAATATTCGATTTGAATAGTAAATTTAAATAGTAGTTAATATAATTATTTATATATTTATTCATATATATTATAAGAAATAAATTACTTTTTATAAATCTTTATTTTTAATAATTAAAGAATTTATATTAAAATTTTTATATTACAATTTTTTTTAAAAAGAAAAACAATAATATTTACCTTCTATAATTTGAATATAATGATACTGAAGTAGTATTCCATAGATGAGTATCCAACAAAGTAACGAAGATATTAAATACGAACAATATTAGCCATAACACCATAATCTTATAAACATAGATTCATAATATTCACATTTTAACAAAATCACTTATAGAAATACACCATTATAGAAGCACAAATAGGTTTGTATTTTAAAAAAATCTTATCACGAATATCATAGTAATTATATTATTATATACACTATATTTAACTATTTTGAAAAAATGAGTTTTAAATTTATTTTATTTTTTACAGTGTGGTAGCAAAAGCATATCTTTATTTTCCGTTTTGGCGCCACATGAATAATCAATCAAGAATACAAAACATCGATAAAACAGTTTCAAAATCGATCGAAGATCGTCAAAAATAAGAAGCAAGTTCAAAGTATTCTTATGTCACAATTCTTTTTGAAGACAAATCTATAAAAAATTACACTAAACAATTCACGATACATGGATTTATTTTCTTGTGTCAACTCAAATAATTAGCTCAAATAAATAATTAACTTTTTCACTAATGCGCGAAATATACAATTTGAAATAGAACATGGCGGTTGGACGGTAATTTTAACACAAAGCGTATAGAAAGGAACAACGTTAATACAACAATATTGTTATAATTAGTGAATTATGATTATGACTGCAATGCGCAAAAGAAATCGTAAATTGAATCCCAATCGGCACACAATGTTACGTTAATACGAAGACGATTGTACAGTACGTGCGATGTAGTGGCGGTGCCACGAGTAACTGCGGCAACGTGCGCAAAGCACGTTCGATCGATAATACAGGTTGCCGCGGAACTGCAATAGCCAATAGCAGTCAGATCACATAAGACACACGCGAGAAACACGTGGAAACTGGAAATGCGGTCGCGGTTTAATCTATTGACAATATAACCGATGTTGTCGGCGGGAAACGCGTCACACGACTGACGAGTACTTTACCACCCTCACAGTTCCCCTTTCCTCCACCCCCTTTTTCCACCCCCTCGATTCGTTTCACCCCAGACTCGTTCGTTCAACCCCAACGTTCAAGAATATGCTGTAGATGCTTGCACATTATTGGCACAATACAAATTAATATTTTTTCAACAAAGAAAATTCAGTCCTTGTTATTTCATTCTATATAGTTATAATCAATATAAATCATAAGCAGTAATTTTTATAAAACGTTCTTTAAAATGACGTTATATAATATTATTAATATAAAATTAATCATTTAATCGTCATTAAATATCTTCATATTAATATTAATAAATCTAGAAATTAAATTTAGTATAAAAATTAGCTTAAAAATTATAGAATACTTATTAAACTATCTTAATAAATCGAAATATTGATGTAAAATGCTGTTAAAATTTTATGTCAATAAGTAAATATTGTAATAATATATCTTGTAAATGTAGAATTTTAATTGAAGTAATTATAAAAATCTGTAAGAAGTATATATCGTTAAGAAAAATGAAAATTCAAAACGTGAAAAGAAAAACTAGATTTAATAAATATATATGTATTATTATATTATGTATTATTTAATACATATTAATTTCTTATGTTGAAAAAATATTTATATTATAAAAATGTTCAAATATTTATAAAATATAATATTTCATTTGTAAAATGAGTTATAAAATTTAGTTATAATGAGTTATAAAATTATCGTTAATTTTGCTTAATTTTACTTATATCATATGGTTTATCTAAATTAAAAAAAAATTTATCTAAATATAAAAAAATAAAATAATTATATTAATAAAATTTATTGTAACTTGAAATTTTCTTCTAACGTATCATAAAGTATTATTTTTAGTATTTATTTTACATAAGAATAAAATAGACAGTTATAAAATATATTTTAATTATTATATTATTAAATTTTTTTATCTGTTCAGATGGCGCTATATATGTAGTTGTCTGCATTTCGCTTTCAACGTTGACAATTATGGAGAAAAAAGTTAGGTTATATTAGGTTAGTTTTTTTTTAGTTATTCATTTAAAATATATAAATTTGGTATTAATTTTCTAATGTAACATGATATGAAACGGACGCGAATGCAGAACGGAGACATAGAAACCATGTCCTATTTACGTGATTGGAGGCAAGCATTACGTGCACCTCATGTTTACAGAGTTGCTAATAGTACTTTTCGCATTCAGAGTCAATATTTAGCTTTAATTTTCTTATTATTGTCTGTTCCTTTATTCTTACTTGGATTTCCTTTATTGCGCGGAGTTGTACATCCTTCGTCAACGAATCATTTTTTAACACAATGCAAATATTATAAATATAATAAGACATACCCTTTATCTGCTCCAATCAAGACATCTAAGGGTATTACTTATCGTATAGCAATAGTAAGTGATCTTGATCATGATTCCAAAAGTTCAGATAAAAAAGATACATGGCACAGTATTATGAAAACTGGAAGTCTTTTTTGGAATCCTAGCACAAATTTTCTTTCCATTGTTTGGGATGACAGAAACCAAATGTTAACATCGTCTTTAACTATGAAAGGACGTGGTATGGAATTGTCTGAACTAGTTATCTTTGATGGACATTTATTGTCTTTTGATGATCGTACAGGAGTTATATATTTTATTGAAGGAGAAGAAGTTTATCCTTGGGTTATTTTAATGGATGGTAATGGTAAAAGTTCAAAAGGTAAAATTTATTATATTTATTAATTTTGCTATTATCAATAATTGTAAAATTTTATTGTTTTTGAATAAAAATAATAAATAATTTTAGGATTTAAATGCGAATGGGCAACTGTTAAAGATGAACATCTATATGTTGGCAGTATGGGTAAAGAATGGACTACTGCTTCTGGAGAATTTCAACATAATAATCCTCTTTGGATAAAAATAATATCTCCACGTGGTGAAATATATTCTTTAAATTGGATTTCAAATTATAAACGATTAAGACAAGCAATTGATATTGAATATCCAGGTATATAATTATATGTTTTATATAAATCTCTTACATATATATTTAAATTTTAATTATCATTAATATATTTTATGTTTATTAGGTTACATGATTCATGAATCAGGAGCTTGGAGCGATATTCACAAAAGCTGGTTTTTTTTACCAAGAAGATGTTCTCACGATCAATATAATGAAACTAAAGATGAAACAATGAGTTGTAATATATTATTGACTGCAGATGAAAATTTTGTAGATATTAAGGTTTTTATTTACTTATATTTACAAATATAATATTATTTATTGTATTTATTTATTTTACATACAGTTAAATTGAAAAATGTAAAAATAATATTGTTTTATTTCTAGGTTACTAAAATTGGTAATTTAGTTCCAATTAGAGGTTTTTCAAGTTTCAAATTTTTACCTGGTTCACAAGATTCAATTATTATTGCTCTTAAAACTGAGGAATATCAAGGACAAACTGCTACATACATTATGGCATTTACACTTGATGGAAATGTAATAATGCCGGAAGCTAAAATAATGGACAAAAAATTTGAAGGTTTAGAATTTATATGACATTCCACTTAAAGATATTATTATTAAATTTTGGAAATGTAAATAAATGTACAGGTTTTATAGTTCCATATTATTATTGATCACAAAGTAAAGAGACTATGTAAATTATTTTATATAGTTTTTTTCAAATGATAGTATTGTCCTTCTTGAACATACTTTTATTTAAAAAAAAAACAGCATATTTAAATACATTTAAGTATATATATATGCATAGATATATGTCTACATATATACATATATGTATATATCTAATAGATGTATTTAAATGTATTGCTTTATATATATCACTTACGTGAAGATTGTAAATATAGTGTACATACAAATATTTATGGAAATGATATTTATTTATTATAGAATGATTATTTATTATAGAAATATGAAAAAATATTAATTGAATCGAATATTACATAGAAATTATGAAAAAGGAGTTTCATGATTTCTTTTATATATCAATCATTATTATTTATAGTAGATAGTAGACAATATTCAAATTTATTTTGTACATTCCTGTTTATGTCCTTATCATTCCTTAAAATTCAAATTTAAAATTACTTAATGAAATTTTTACCTAATATCATAATGCTTCTTCAGGGTCGTAATATACGTAGACTAAAATCAATAATATCTATACATGAAAATGCGAAGTGGTGGTAGCAGCATTGCGATACGTCGAGACTTTAGTCAACTCGTGGCATCGTAGATAGAAAGCTCCGTTTAGTAGTATGTCATATTCCAATTTTTTTTTTTCGAATATATATATAATATTTTTTTAATTTTATTTATTTAAAATAGTGGTAACATATAATTTTCAACAATTATCATTAAAATCTGAAAAAATATTAATGTATATCTTATTCAAATTATTTATGAAAAATTTATTTTATATTTAAAATCTTATTAAAAGTATTTATTTAAAAAAACAAAAATTCATAATTAAAAAAATAAAGATATATAAAGAGAAAAAGAAATATATATAAATCATAAGAAAAAATAAATATTGCAAAAATATTTGATATTACAACTAAATATTCTAAATATTCATATACAATTATTACAGAAATTTATTTATATATAAAAAATTATTTTTACGTAATAATTATAATTAGTGCAATTTCTCCAAATATATAAATATATTAAAATATGTAATTAATATTCATCAAAAATGATTAAATTTTGATAAAAATAGAACTTATTAATACATCGTGCATTGTCAAACAGTTTCAATTTTTCAAGAAGATATTTTATGTGAATATGAAGATTTCCAATTTTATCATTTCTTTTGTGTCGTGCATTTCAATGGAAAAGATAGGCATGTTTCGTGAAGGAGTATTTTGCATTCTTGTCCATTATAATACAATATTTGTACCGCGCATCATAATGCTGTGACGCAAATTGTATGCATTAACGTTGCTTTTATCACTGAATTATTCTGACATCAAGACTGTTATTGAATTATGTGATTGAAAATAATAATATGTGTTACTGTTTAACGATCGTTGAAATATTACTTGTATGTTATATACATGTGATTTTCACGTCGTAGATATTATAATTAAATATTGAAACGAATTTTTAAAGTAGACACGAATCAGAAAAATTACGATCAGTTGAAAGAACCATGGCTAAAAAGTCTCAAGAAATGAAAGAATGGAATATCGCTAGAATGGGAATTTCTTTGCTTTTAAATAATAAAACGGAGGAAGCAGAAACTTTATTTACCAAACATCCACATAGTTTCCACATAAAAGCAGGTCGCTGCTTTGTTTTGTTCATGGTATGTGAATAAAATTATTCTATTTTAGTAAAAATTAATAAGAAAAATTGTTTGTGATAATTTTATTTAAATAAAATTATTTATTACTTGCATTTAAAAGTAAGGTATACATATATTAATTTATTTTAACAATATTTTATTAAGTTATTTTGAAAATACATAAAATTTTATTATTGACATAAAAATATTTTGAATGTTGTATCACATGACATCATACATGTTTTTATTGACCATAAATTTATTTGAAGAAATATCTTAATAATAACTTACAATGTATTAATTGTGGAAATAGATAAAAATAATAATTGAATAAATTTTTAGAATGCATTGATGACCTTTGAAAACGATAAGCTTCAACAAGCTATATCATTGCTGAAGGATATGGAAAGAGAATGTGCAAGTGATATAGGATGGTTGAAATCTATGAAAAGCAAAGTTTTTAAAGCGGAAGAGACTGATGTAATTATTATTTTTTAAATTTAAAGTTATTTAAATACAGCAGATGTGTATGCGTTAATGAAAATTTTAATTTTAAATATATAAAAATATCAAAAGTAAAAAATTCGTTAATATTTAGCAAGTGAAGCAAAATGAAGCAAATCTCTATTTTTCTTTTTAATATTTCAAAAATTTTTAATAATATCTTTAAAAATGTGAGTTTGCATAAATATCTGCGATGCAAATATTATTTTATA